TATATATATATAATTATAGATGGTATATTAACTGCATAAAGAGCCAACGATTTGGCGTTATCATGTCTATCAGCTGAGACGCATGTTCTCTGTCCATTATTCGAGGTAGCAATAAATTCTAATTTTTCTTTTGCCCCACATTTTATAGCAAACGCCGTGGTAATGCCGAATCGTATTTCATGTAGCTAAAATGTATCGAGTTGCGAGTATAAGTATACGTATTTTCTCAAAAAAGAATATTAAAATATATATAATAAAATAATCTCTATTGTGTGCTTTCATATATTCATCAACTCCCCGATCCCTCTCATTTGCGCGAGTTGTTAACTATAAAAGAACGCAATTTTCCATTAAGGTAACAATTGCACTCAATTCAACAAATTTCATACAAAAAATAAAAAGTATATACATTAAAAAATTAACAACTTAAAATAAGTTTTACATATCCAAACTTTTTCATTTTTTTTTAATCCGAAAGTTGTTATAAATTGCGAAATTAGATTCAAAATTCACGCTTAAAGACGTAAATTGATTTTCTTTAATGAGTTTCTCGTTCTTACCCTGAATCGCAGGACTACAAAGTAAGACGGAAAGTTGTTTTAAAGCAGTTTTAGAATTTTTTTCTCTAAACTTTTCTTCTACTAAGGAATGCTAAAGTATGCTGTTTAAAGTTAACTGCAATTGTTAACTTTTGATTAATTCTTAAACTAATGAAATTTCACTATAACTGATGTCCTGATAAAGCACATTTTCCGATAATTTATGAAAGTTTAACGCGTAACATTGCCTGAGCAGTTAACAATACGTAATATGCCACAATTTGACGAAACGGATGTGCGATCCAGAAAGAGCGATCGTCAAATGGCACTCTTCCGCGACTTCTACAAACGCAATGCATTCTTTCATTGTTTGATTTCTATCACCTTGGAAATCTCATTTTAGAGTCTTGAGAATGTAACACCTGTCAGAAAAGATCACAGAACGTATATATCTTGTAATGATAAATTTTTTATTTCACAGACACTTTTAATTTAAACGCACTCACTACATTTTACGATTGGAGTTCATTGACAGCACAGATAGCATATATTGACGTTGTACATTTTTCTCTGTGAGAGGGTGTGTTACCCTGTAATAATGCAGTCTCCCTTACCGCGCGATACGACTAGCGTGATAATAGAGTGAAGTAATAAAGGGGGAAATAATCCAATCAAAGATCGTGCCACAATCGCTGCGCTACGCCTGTTATTACGTATCTTTATATCTATCATTGCGGTGTGCAATACCGCGAATCTCCTTAATACGGCATAACCATAGATGTGGCCGTCTCGGCCAAACGATAATGGCGGAAAAAAAGAATAAATTTCTGTCGATACGAATAGCGAGGTTTCTCATGAAGATGATAGGCTTTTGGCCTGCCGAGTCGAAAGCCGAAGAACGATTATTAAACGGACTTTTGATCTACACAATAGTTGCAGTTGCCGGAGCTCTGTGGACAGAAGCGACCGAATTTTTCTACTTCAGCATGGGTGATTTTTACGTGAGTATCAAAATTTACGATAACCATTGTGAAGCGAACAAAACACTATCGATGCGATTAAGTAAGATCGTTTTTGTAATAGCAATTAAAATCTTGAGATGTGTAAAGCAACGTAATGATTTTTAAATTATTTAAGCGCCTTATATATAATTTTTCTTCTTTTAATATTTTTAATGTATTAATTTTATCTTCTTGTGGACAGTTAATACTATTTTTAATAATCGAATTTTTATTAAAACTTCAATTTTAGTAAAAGCATACTGATATTTTAGGCCATTACATACACTGCTTGTAGCACTATGCCGGTAGTCATAATTTTGCTAAAGATAAGCTTCTTTCTAATTCATCGGAAACACATGCTGAATATGCTAAGATATACGCAGGATCATTTTTGGTACGCCCAGTATGATGAATACGGCAGCAAACTTTTGGAAGAGATCGATAAAAAGGGAAAAATACTAATGATCACGTTTACATTCTTCGTTCAAGGAACCGTTTTCACCTATATGCTGACTCCCATAATCGGTATCCTGATTCTAAATTTACATCTCGTCTGCTTAGTAGAGAATAGAATACGAATGGTACAAACTTAGTGCAGGTACTAAGAATCTTTGTTCGTGGCACCGTTGCATATACAAACGTTTCATTTACTCTCTACATGTTGCGATTTTATAGAAAACAGAGGGAAAAACGAAAGCGAAAGAATACTTCCTTTCAATGTCTGGCTCGGAATTCCGACAAACGTCACGCCTATTTTTGAAATACTATTCGTTTTCCAGGTAATAAAGCGTATTCATCATAGTTGCACTCGCTCTTATAAAAGTAGAAATATTATAAAATTATAGTGCTATTATATAAAATAGAGATATATTCGGTTCTAAACAAATTTTCTAGAAAATTGTGTCTGTGAAACATTTGTCAGGTGTGAAACATCGTTCTTGATTAGATTTTTAAAAAATTCGAAAATTAAAAAGTTGAATACGATACTTAATGAGTTACTGGCTTCATCTACTCATAGTATTTTTCCGCCTTCGTGTCAAATAGTGCAACTCTTTTTTTTTAGAAATTTATAACTTTTGCAGATTTTAGTGCTCGTCCATTCGGGCCTGTGCTTTTGTTGCTTCGATAATCTTCTTAGTCTATTAAACTTGCATATTGCCGGCCAATTCAAACTTTTGCAACACCGATTGGAAACCATTCTCGAGAGAATCAATCGAGTCGATACCGTAAAGTCGTTCGACGAGAGGAAAAAACGGGAAATGTACGAAGAGATTAAAAGATGCATAGTGTTGCATCAGGAACTGATTTGGTACTGTGAACAAATACAACATATCTTCATGTACTCGACTCTTTGTCAGCTGTTGGTATCAGGCATCATGCTCTGCGTCGCGGGCTTTCAAGTGTTTTTGGTAAGTGTACACGGTTGTCACGAAAGGAAGAGAGAGAAAGTGAGAGAAAAGGGGAGATGCGTGTACCGCAACCCTTTACTCACACATACACACATACATACCGATGAGAGCGTGCGAATATAAATAGCTTACGGCACTCGCCGACCTTCTTCACGCATCTGCATCTCTGTTGAAAAAGGCTCAAGGTACTTTCGTCAGGCGGTTGATATTCATCGCTCATACGAACGGTTGCTTCTTTCAACTGTTCATCATTACGCTAACGGCGAATGACTTAATGCTCGAGAGCTGCGCGGTCGGCAACGCGGCGTACAATGCCGATTGGCAAGTTTTATCCCACAAAGACAATAGAAGAGTCAGAAATGCTATTTTGTTCATTATAATGCGTTGCACGCGTGCCTGCTCCATATCCGCCGGCGGTTTCTTCCCAGTTTCTCTCGAGACGTTCATGGCGGTAAATTCGGTGTAACAGTAATGCAATTACGATTGAATACATCTGCAAGATGGCAACATTTAATTCTGTCCTCTTCCAGGTGCTCAGCACCGCAGCGTCCTACTTCACCTTGCTACGCAAATTCACGGAGTAAGCATTTGCATGAAAAATTCGAAATTATTTGCGATGTGAATTGAGAATAATTAGATATTCTGAATATTAATATATTTAAGCCAACAGCTGAGGAAAAAATCTCAACGTATTTGCGTATCTTTAGTACATGTTCGTGAACCTAGCATATCATTTTCCAGCAGATCAAAAATAAAAGAGAGTTCTTGTCGCATGCAGTCGAGTTCTATAGTTCCTTATAGTTTTTAGTAATAGTTCTGGTGATTCGTAATAACTTCGTATAGCATACATTATAC